ATTCTTAACCATGCTTTTCAAACCCACCTGTTCCAGGTTGCAAGTTTCTGGACATAAGGCTCCCAAACAGTGAAGAGATACTGCTGTCATGATATGAGGCCTCACATTCCAAATTGCCTTGCCGCAGATCGGGCAAATACTCGTTATGGTATTTCAGACTGCTAGCGAACTTCGCACTTCCGAGGACTACTGCCCACTAAAACCAAAGGACATGCGGATCAGGTTGCTAGCAAGCACAGGTCAACTGTTCTACTCACTTCCTGAGTCGATTCGCCAAAGTAACCGATCGCCTTGTTTGCAACTAAAATGGTCCAAACCCAGAGGCCAAAGTCAATGAACTCAGGTAGTGAGTTTCCGCGACGTCCGCAAACCGAGTAGCGGGGAAGATTTAATATGTTCGCATTGGGCTGTCCGTGCAGCCCCATGGCGAGATCATGACAAACATGCTCCTGCCCTAACATCCTCCGAAGAATGGACTTGGTAGCTGTCTGTCAAACCCACCCTGCTTAGTAATCTGGGAAACTCCAAAATCCTCGGCTGGCTTCCCTGCGGGAACGCTAGGGTAATGCCAGCCGTAAAGCGGCCTTGGAACATAGCCAAGCCACTGACTGTCTCACGACTGCAAGCGCCCTTTGGGGAACTTGGCTTCTTTGGCTTCTTTTGGACCGACCTGGCATTCTTCTTGGATAGGACTTGGTTCGGCAGGATGAAGAATCCTACCATTCACGGCTCTCTGCTGGGCAACCTGCTTCATCCTCTTCAAACTCGGTGGCTCCAGGCTCAGCGCGCGCACTAGGCCACATGTGTCACAGTCCATCGCGAAGGGCGCTTCGCTTGCGGTGCTGAAGCCGAACACTGCGCCAATTCGAGCACGCGGCACTTGCCAACTTGCGCCCGCCAAGTCGCAATCCTGGATACAACACCAATTTGCTTGTCATGCGGAAACCAGATGATTATTTTCTGCTGAAGAGGTAGATGGCTTATCGTTCTTCAGCAAATGGGTATAAAAGTGACTCCGCTCTTTCAGTCGGCAAATTGCAGGTAAGCCGCCGACAATCGTCGTGCTTCCCCAAAGAAGCGGGGAAAAATGGGGACAACATGGGTGCCAACCCCCCCCCCCCCCGCCCCCTATTTCCGTGAGGACATCGGGTGGCCAAGCTCATAGTTACCAAAGACGTGGGCTCTCCCTCGATACATGTCCCTTGTATCTATTATGGCTCTGAAGTTTGGTTGGAACCCCCTGAAAGTGGTGGACATAAATCTCCGAATTCTGATGTCCACCACAGGGTCCCTAGTTAAATTTCATTCCCATATGGTGCCAAGATGGGTTGAGATCCCAGTGTCACTTGAAAGTTGTTTGAGCCTCGCTCAGGGCAACTGGAGGTTTCCCATGGAAGGTAATTTCCGCTTCGGCTTCAAATACCAAAAGGGCTGCAAAATGACCTGAGCTGCTTAACAGCAAAAACACATGTCGCCGCTTTTGACTGGCGACTGCTTCACCGTGACCGGCCGCTCCAGCCGTGTTCGTTCAGCTTTTGGACGAGCCAACAAATCACCCGACGTGTGCTGCAAAGGCAAACTTTGGAATGCGCTTGGCTTTCCTAGTTGCTCGGAGTTGATGATTCTCCATTCTTAACCATGCTTTTCAAACCCACCTGTTCCAGGTTGCAAGTTTCTGGACATAAGGCTCCCAAACAGTGAAGAGATACTGCTGTCATGATATGAGGCCTCACATTCCAAATTGCCTTGCCGCAGATCGGGCAAATACTCGTTATGGTATTTCAGACTGCTAGCGAACTTCGCACTTCCGAGGACTACTGCCCACTAAAACCAAAGGACATGCGGATCAGGTTGCTAGCAAGCACAGGTCAACTGTTCTACTCACTTCCTGAGTCGATTCGCCAAAGTAACCGATCGCCTTGTTTGCAACTAAAATGGTCCAAACCCAGAGGCCAAAGTCAATGAACTCAGGTAGTGAGTTTCCGCGACGTCCGCAAACCGAGTAGCGGGGAAGATTTAATATGTTCGCATTGGGCTGTCCGTGCAGCCCCATGGCGAGATCATGACAGACATGCTCCTGCCCTAACATCCTCCGAAGAATGGACTTGGTAGCTGTCTGTCAAACCCACCTTGCTTAGTAATCTGGGAAACTCCAAAATTCTCGGCTGGCTTCCCTGCGGGAACGCTAGGGTAATGCCAGCCGTAAAGCGGCCTTGGAACATAGCCAAGCCACTGACTGTCTCACGACTGCAAGCGCCCTTTGGGGAACTTGGCTTCTTTGGCTTCTTTTGGACCGACCTGGCATTCTTCTTGGATAGGACTTGGTTCGGCAGGATGAAGAATCCTACCATTCACGGCTCTCTGCTGGGCAACCTGCTTCATCCTCTTCAAACTCGGTGGCTCCAGGCTCAGCGCGCGAACTAGGCCACATGTGTCACAGTCCATCGCGAAGGGCTCTTCGCTTGCGGTGCTGAAGCCGAACACTGCGCCAATTCGAGCACGCGGCACTTGCCAACTTGCGCCCGCCAAGTCGCAATCCTGGATACAACACCAATTTGCTTGTCATGCGGAAACTAGATGACTCTTTTCTGCTGAAGAGGTAGATGGCTTATCGTTCTTCAGCAAATGGGTATAAAAGTGACTCCGCTCTTTCAGTCGGCAAATTGCAGGTAAGCCGCCGACAATCGTCGTGCTTCCCCAAAGAAGCGGGGAAAAATGGGGACAACATGGGTGCACCCCCATCATTTCGTGAGGAATCCGGGTGGCCGAACTCATCGGGAGCTACGAGATGCTGAAAATTCCCACCCCCCCGAGTGGGGAAATCATTTGTGGCACCGGCTTCCTGAATCGTCCCTGGGTCCGACAGAGATGTCTCCAGCCTCAAGCCAAAATCCATGAGAAAGAAACCAAACAAGGGCAACGCCATTCAGTCATTCAACAAGAACAAACACCGAGGCTTGCAAATGTTGACAGCCTCTTTATGAGAACAAAGCAGCCCCCCCAAAAGGGTTACACTCGAAACACTGCCAGGTCCCGCTATTCTCAACGGGAACCAAGTGGCAAGGATGCCTTTGATTAAAACAAGTCGCATCAAGTCGCAAATCCTCCTCGTCAACCAGGGTTTGCTTTCGAAAAACCGGGGGGGGTGTCTGTCGGTTTCCTCATTGGGATCCATTTTCAAAAACTAGGGGTTGGTTGTGCCCACAAAACCCCTGGCTTCAAAGGTAGTGCAATATGACCAGAACTCCCATCGCCAGCTCAAAAAGGCTCCCTTGCAAATTATTTGTCAAAATCAGATACCCTCCCACCAACTAACATGGAAATGCAAAAAGGCCCTTTCTAAGAGGAAAGTAGTCTTCCTACAGGGGTCTGTGCACTTCCATGGAATCGCTGGTGGGAGGGTACCAACTTCCCTAGTTCCCTACCAGCCCTTCCCCAGGCACAAGAGGATACCCCGAAAACCCCGGCAGACAAGAGCCCGGCGCTTCTGGACATGCTCGCATGGCGACGCAAGCTGGCAATAGAAGCCCCCCAAAAGTGGAATCTGGCTGGATTCGCGCGGGTCCAAATAAAAGGTATGACAAAGGTGTGTGTGTGTGTGTGTCGGAATGGGTAAAAGTCATATTATTGTGGAGGCTAAATTGTCCGAATCTTGCAATCTTGCATTGGAAACTGTGTGGTGGACATCAAATGGGCGGGGTTTTATGTTCACCCACCATTTGGGAGGGTACATCCCCCCTGAAAAAATCCACTGCCAAATCAAATGGCATCCAGGAGTCCAAACTAAACAGCATATTGGAGGAAAAGGAGCAAACGAAAATGATATTCCTCTAATCCACATGTTTGGATGACCACACCCGAATTCTGGACGCATCCCTTGATTTGGATCGTTTCAATAGCTTCGGGCTGCAGTTCCGGTCAAGCTGAGGGCCAACGCCAAGGCGCTCTGAGCCGTGCTAAAGAGCAGCAGTCCACACCGCTGATGCGCCATCGCAAAAATGCAAACAAGACCGCGCAGGCTTGAAGAGCCCATGAGCGCGGGTCAATCCGGAACCATTGATACATCAGGGTTTTAATCTCCATTGAAAAGAAGATTGAGCAAGTTCCCGTGGAGGGGCGCGCTAGCGCGGGCTTCGTAGCAACCACTGCAGTGACTATCATTATATTGATGCAATCTAGTCGTCACGAACAAGCATCCAAGGATTTCCAGACTTAGTGCAGCGATGCTTTTGTCCGAGCTCGAGCTTGTCCCAGTAGCTGAAGAGCTCTGCCTCAGTCTGAAAGATACTGTGGCTGGACAAAATCCGTTCGCACCACCTGAGAAATCATGGTTGAAACCATTGTTTGTAATTTACAGGGGAATCGATTAATTCAGGGTTTCTGAACGGCGCGAAATGGACTTCGCTCATCAGTATGTCCTCAATGCTTACCCCAGACCTCCGGTTCCATGAGAGTCAAAATCGGCCATGCCCTGGCCCGCAACCGGCAAAGAAAGGAAAACCTCTTCTTGGTCTGTGCTCCCCTGCAAATTTCTCTACGCAACCCAAAACGAGGGTCCAAGAGGACAGTGAAAAGACAAATCTGTGGTCTTGGGGGTTCCAAGTTCCAAGTAGTTAATCCGGTTCAAAGGCCTGGAGCTCTGAATCAAGGTGCTCTGAATCAAGGCTCCAGCCAGCACCACACCCATTGTGGTGCTTGCCACGCGTGTGCCAGCCCAGGCTTCCTGGACAGGAGCCGAAAAATCATTGAAATCCTCCAAGTTGGAAAGATTGAAACTTGAAAGCTTTTCAGATGCCCCAACGCCTGCCACATGTTTTTGTTAGTCCCACCTCCCTCCCAGCAAAATCCTTTTCCCTGTGCGGGTAACCAAGGCGTTTCACGCCTAGAAAAACCAAGAGGACAATTCAACAATTGGTTGCCTACCCCAGTGCATTCGTTACCACCATAGTAGGTAACTATGTTTCCTTTTGGTTTTCCTAGTGGGTGGCTCCCTTGGTCACCTACAACACCAGAGGAATCACTGGGTACAAGTCGCTGGCGAAACGGATTGGGAACCACGTCGGTCCAGCTCCGCATCCGGTGCCGGAGCGCTTGGAGGACCTGGAAAGGGCTGGCAGATCTGCTGCCAAGTGGGGCTGTCTCTCAGATGCCCAGTGCATTTCCATAAGAAAAAGGGGCATCCGTTTTTTGTTGGTTGAGTTGAAAAGGGAACCCTGGCCAAAAAACAGGAACACAGGGCAAAAGAGTTTAGACCCCCAAACTTCAACCTACCCCTGGCGGTTTGGAGCCGGAGCCGAATCGGTGGCTTGGTGGGCTGGGAAACCCCGTTTACCCTCTACAAACGCTAGGGGTTCAAATCACCAATCCAAACCACCAATTAGGGGCAACCTGAAAACTGGTGGAACCACTCAAACAGGAGTACCAACTCCAAATAAAGAACATACCCAAATAGGTTTTTCACACCCCAAAATGATGTGTGTGTGTGTGTGTGTCCCTTTCAGTTCCCATTTAAGTTTGCAGTTAAACGAGTGCCCTCAAAATTCAAACACGCAGACACACACACACACCATATGTGGCCTTGGGTTTGAACACTGAAGCCACTCAAAAATGACCATAGTAATTAGAATCCCAACCTCTCCTTGTGTCCACCAAAGCCGTTCTCTGACCAAATGCGAGCATGTGAGCTGGACCTAATTGATCTGCAAATCAAAGAAGCCACCAGCTGCGGGGAAGCTGTCGCAGCGAGAACCTCCAATTCCAGAACGTGCGCTAGTCCGAGAACCTGCGCTAGCACGTTTCCTTTACACAACCCAAATCATCAGCAAGTTTTGCCCATTTCCTTGTTCCTCAGCTTCCTGAAATCAGGTGAGCATCCAAAAAAACGGGGCGGATTCCGCGAAAAGAGCTGAACAGGTGCGGATGTCAAGTAGCCCTCTTGATTCTCCATGGGTTTGGGGTACACTTCCAAGCTTCTTGAAACAAGAAGAGAAGGGGGATGATCCTCACACACGCGAGCCGCGCGTCTCCTTGCGTCAGCAACTCCTGCCGCAGGTCCTTGGCTCGGCTTTTTGTCGAGCGACGGACTTCGGAACATGAACCCACAGTGACGGAAGCAGGTCCAGGTGCGTCTGTGTGTGGCTGTGCTCTTTTTGGGTACCCCGCTTTGCTTTCTGTCATTTGAGGAAGACCAAAAGGGCACCAGGCATTCGAATTCGGGGTCACCCAACTTGAAACATACCCAAGTGTTGAAAGGAAAGTTTTGAAAGCGACAGGAAAACAATATGGGGCATTGCTCATAAAGCGGAACGACCCACTGTTTAGGGATTGAGCTGTGTCGGGAAAGCCCATCAATAGAGATCCCCCAAAAGGGATTTCACATTTTTTCGGGCAACCAAGGCGAATGCTTTCAACATCCCTCGCGGGCTTGTCCCAGGCTCTCCGAACATGCAAATCACGGGTCCCGCGAGAATTGCGCCATCCCGAAGGTTGGTGTCTTCGCCAGCTTTCGGACTCAAGAGAAAGCCCTGTGGGCCAACGGATCTAGGACACCCTTCCCAGCGATTGTATTTACCTGTAGTAGTGGCTTGCCTGGGATTCACTGCGCGCGCCCGGAAACTTCCCAAGTGCGACCCGGCACCCAGGGGAAGATGTATACCTGAAACTCAAAACACCTGGTGAACTACTGAGGTCTCAATCCAACCCTCCCCTGCGAGCCTAGATAATAAGTCCCCACACATGGTTTATTAAACAATAGAACACCAACACACTACCTACTCCCATGATAGATTTCCTTTAAACTCACCAGACATGCAAAAATATGCTAACCATAAAAAAGTGAACACGATCATCTTAAGCAGCCGGAGCCTCCACACGCATCCACCCCAACGGTCGGCCGAGTCGCAGAGAGGCCCTGGGCCGAGAGCTCGGGGTGATGGCAAAGAACCCAAGCGGAGCAGCTGAGGCGCACCTCGATCGAAGGTTTTTCGGACCTTCTGAGACCTGGAAAGACTGGTTTTTCTTCGTTCGCAAGCAGCAAAAAAGGTCCTCATCTCAGATGCCCAGGGGATTTCCATGGGAAAACAAAAATTGGGCACCCTTTTTTTGAGGAAGGACGCGTGTTTGGTTCGCAAGCCCAAGACCTCATCTCAGATGCCCAGTGGATTTCCATGGGTCTTGTTGGTTGGTTCCGCCACATTGCCCAAGACCCCCCCCCCCCAATTGGAGTGAGTGGAGCCCACATCCCGGCGAAGCCAAGAATCTGCCTTCTTTGGTTGGTTGAGTTTAAAAGGGGAACCCTTTACCCCCCAAAAAATGCAAAAAAAAAGGTGCCACTGGGCAGGGTCATTCTTGGAGGCCTGAAAAAAGGCTTTCAAGGTCCTCATATTTCTAAGGTCCTCATATTTCTTGGGCTCCCAGGGGTTACTTTGGGATTCCTGTCGTGACTCCCGAGCTTTGGGTATACTGATCGACTTTTGGTCTACTTTTGGTGTTCTGGCGGTCTATCGTTGGTTTGTTCTTGGCTTCCCTATCTGAGTTAGTTGGCTCTCTCTTGTTTTGTTAGTTCGCATTTTTTGTGAGTGAAACTACCGAGTCGGTTATACCTAGCTGGTCGCATTCTGCTCCCCTGAGGCCTCCTTCGCTTAAATGAAACCAAGCCTCAAAACGTTTGTGGTATGTATTTGGTGCGTTATTCTTCCCAGATCCCAGTTGCCACTATAGGTAAGCAGACTTGCACCTAAAGGTTTGCTGGTGTCTGTCAGTACCCTATTACACCAGAGTACCAGACTCCCTTTTGGGCCTGGATGGTAAACCAACATGGGGAGGCAGCCTGTGCTTTCACCCAACACCTGCAGATTGACGCGGAACCCGATTTCAGGTTCCCTCAAAAAAGGGGGGAGTCCTCTAGAAATGATGGCTTGGGTTTCGTAATATGGGTGGTGGTTAATATTACACCACCGGGGGACCATAGCAACAGCCCTTAGAAGGCAGGCAAGAGGACCTGAGTCTGGATGGAAGATGGATGAAGAAGAAGTTCTTGAGAAAGAGAGAGAAGGGGCAAACTTGTTGCGTTCGCTTTTCGTCCATGTGTCCATTTACCAGGTCTCCACTTTGGGTGCCTACTTTTGACCCACGGCCATTTCTTTGGCATTCGAAGCTTGCAACCGGCAGCTCTGATCTGGCACGGTAAAGAGAAGGCGTCAACCCTGTGCCCTAGAAAACATGAAGCCCATAAAGGGGGGTCGGGAGATTCCTCACAAGGTTCTCGCTTTTGTTGCCTTTGGAGGGGGCTGCAGGGCAGCACATGAAGCTTTATTTCCACCAGCCATCTCTGAACAAAACATGGTATGAATGTCAATTCTGGGAGAATCCCGCTGGTGGGTCACATACATTACATTGGGGCTTATGTCCACTTGTGTTTCTTCTATTTCTTGTTTGTGTTCGGTCCTTCCCCATGTTTTCATGTAGAGCCATATTTATCTTCCGCACTCACCATTTGGGGCCAGACCGGCGCCTGTGGCCCGGCGCCGTGTCGTGTTTAGTACAACCCGAACCAGCACCCCCAACTGCTTTTTGGACACTACGCGGGGGATTTTGGACATGGGGAAAGCAATAAAGGGAGGATAGTTCTTGGGAAGAGCCGGAGAAGGTAACCGTTTTGGAGGATCCAGCAAAACCAGCCCTTCAACGCCTCTGCTTCTTTCCGCCATCTGAGCCTGGCGCCACTGCAGCTCCAAGCCAACTGGCAGCATCTGTCGGCGAGCCGAGGGGCACTGCATAACCATCGCCATCCTGACGGTTCGTCGTGGCTCGGTGCGGGCTTTTCACAAGGTTCGCCCAGGTGAACCCCAGTGAGGTGGACTGAGGTGCACCTTGTACCTTAAGTTGCCACCCATGAAACCTGACTGCTTGGACGTTCCACCTACGATGGGTTATAGTCAAAAGGTTTTGAACTGCATGGCCTCACTGGGGTTAGTTGGCCTACCATGGTTATAACATGCTAAGTAGCTTGAACATCCAAGTTGGCGTGTGGTGGGTTGTCTCAACAAATTTTGGGCGGTGCTTTTCGTGAGGCTCAGCAAAAGGCAAAAGGAAAGCGGCGATGCTTGTTGTGTTTCCATATCTTGACAATCCTTGGTATGGTAGAAAAACACTTTTTTTGCAGCTACAAATAAACAGAACCAGAAAAAAACAAGAGATGACAAAACTAAAACCAAACGTAACCGCCCGGAAGCGAGTCGCGAGACCTCCAAAAAGCGTGGCATGCGCAGCAAAAACGCACTTCCGAGCCCCCAGGGCCCCACCCCAGCTCCATGCTCCATACCCCCTTCATGGAGCGCGGCAACTTCTCCTGGTTGTATAATATACTGCTATCATCAACACAACCCTAAACCTAAACCAGACAAGCCAGCCTCGGATGCGCCGGACAGCCAGCTCCAAGCAAACCTAAACCCTAAACCCTGAAACCCTAAACCTAAACCTTAAAAAACCCTAATCCTAAGCCTAAAACAAAAAATCAAACCCTAAACTAAACCCTAAAACCCCTAACCTAAACCCTAACAACCCCTAAACCTAAACCCTAACAACCCAAAACCCAAACCTTACAAACCCTAAACCTAAACCTTACAAACCTTAAACCTAAACCCTGAAAAAAATAAATTTTAACCCTAAAAACCTTAAACCTAAACCCTAAAACCCTAAACCTAAACCCTAAGAACCCTAAACCTGCCAGCACGATATACAGCATAATAAGACCTTGTGGGCGACACGTATGTTTTGTGGGTAAAGATACGCCGGCACATACTCAAACCCTTGTCTCGATTTTTGGACGGCAGCCCTGTCAAGGTTGTGAGGGGGACCCAAGGGAAACTGGCATTCCTGGTAAAACACAATCAATCAAACAAACAAACAAATAAGCCTGGCCCAACCCAACCCAAACCCGCCCCAACTCAAACCCAAACCAAACCCACCAACCCACATTTGGGTGTTCTTTTGAGGGTACCCCGAGTTTTGGGTTGTGGCTTTAAAGGGAAACCAAAAGGAAAATCACCATTTTGGGGGGGATCCGATTCCTACAAACAAACAAAAAACACCCCCGTTGTTTTCTCGAAAACGGTTCGTTTTGCTTTTTGTGGATTTCCCCAGTTCTTCCCCTGTCAGCTTCTTTTTCAGTACTCTTGTAGCACTCTTTTCGTGGGGGGTGGATCGACAGTAAAGATATGCTGACACATCAGCTACTGTTGGTCTCTATTCTTGGTTGCTGTTGACCCCCCTGCAAAAAGCTTACGTAACTGTTTGGGGTTTAGTCGAACAATTATTGTTTTCCCAAACAGATAAAGTCTAAAGATCCCACCCAATAGCAGCCAAGTGTTTTTGGATGGAAGCCCTGGGTTCTTACAACCGGAGACAAACCTCCCCGTCCTCCGTGCCGAACCAGGGCAGCTGCCGCATCACCGCACAGGCGGCCTCCAGGCCGCCTGAACCCAAACCAGTCTCCACCCGGGCGCACCCAGAAACGGGGGGCTCAAAATACCGTACAGAAGCTCACCTATACTCAAATGCCCAGCAAACATGGGAGAAAAAAAAGGGCATCCTTTTTGGGTTGGTTGACTTTAAAGGGGAACCCTTCCCAAAAGAAAGGAAAAAAAAGGGCACCACTGGGCACCACTGGGCAACTGGGTATATCTCTGCAACTCTTGGTATGGTAGCAACAAACCTTTGTGTTATTTTTTGCAGCGAACCAGGAAAAATGAACAGAACCAAACAACTAAAAATCCCAAAACCATGCCAAGAACTGTGAAGATATGATTCGCAAGAAGTTGGAAGCCTGGGTGTGGCGGCTGAAAAATAGGCTTGCCTGAAATGGGGAATGGGGCGCTGTATGGAAAAGACTAAAACCTGCAGTCCGGCTCTAAAACTCCGAGCCACAAATCAGCACAGGCATCCCCAGAAAAAAAATCCGGAGCAGGAACCCGGACGTGAACCCTCGCGGCTCGCAACTCCCAGAAACCCCGAAGCTTTCCGCTGAAGAACCTCGCAAAAACAAACAGCGGAAGACACAATCGACAGATCCAGAAGCCAGCACCACACATAAGCATCAACACCAAAGCTGGACAAATTGATAAACAAATACTCCCCCCCTTGGGCAAAAACCAAAAAAACATGCGGTGTTGCTTTAAAACCTTCCGGAACCTGCTAACAAAAAAGGCCCCGTTGCCAGCGCTTTGTTTGAACAAAAATACCCCAGAGAACCCAAGCTTCACAGCTCTTGGAGAGAAAAAGGGAACCAACAAGAGAGACAGTGTGCATGGGCGAAATCTGTGCGCACCACTTTGAAACCATGGTTGAAACCATAATGGTTGTCGGTATTTGCGTCGGAGAATCGTCAGGTGTTCTAGGTAGTGCAGGATTCTGTCGATCCACAGTAGCTCAGGGGGTTGATCAAAAGGTCCTATGACCATTGGAGAGCCAGCAAGTCTGAGTGTGCTTTGGGACTTTTTGCGGTGATATTCTTGAGCTGGTTGATCAATCTTCCTGGCCCCCACAAGACCAAGGGCACCTTGCCCCGAATCCCAACTGGTGGCGTCCTTTCTTCGGGAATCCCCCAAACCGGTTCATTCCCGACACCCACCCTGGGTCATTCCCTACCTACGCACCAATAAGAAGAAGCAAGTCAGAGAAAGGCAAAGCTTGGTACACAAATGATTTACCCAGAACCATGCAAAGAATTGACAGGCAGCTGCACCCATTTATGGTTGGGATTGTCCCTTACCAACCTTCATCTACCCGAGTTTTGATGGTGGCTGTGCGAGTGCTCGCCTGCCAAAACTGCGGCTCCCAGCAGGGCTTCCATGGCGTCAGCAGGCGCCTTGCGCCCCAAAGCCTCGCGGGTCTCGCCAGAAGCCGCCAGAGGCACTGAGCGCGGTTCGACATGGGCCCCGGCCATTGGGAGGCTCAGGGAAGTAGCCATTTGGTGGTTAGGGAAAAAGTGGATGTGACCCCTATGAATCCCTGGCTTCCTGAGGATGGCTGCGAAATCCCCTCGAATTCACCATGAAATGAAACCATAGTCCAAACCATCACGTTTGTTGGTAGTTGCATTGGGGAATCGAATCATTCCAGGGTTTCTTAGGCTTAATATAGGGGATTTATTTCCTTCCGGTTTCCCGAAAAACGGCGATTCCTTGGTGGGAATCAGCAAGGAATTGTGGATCCTAAGGCCTGATTAATTGGTTCAGGCCTTCTTAGGGTATATGCTTGGCTCTTCCAGGGATAGCCTTCTCAATGGCACATTTGTTTCTTGCAAACCAGGTTGCTGGGCTGTTGAAGCAGGGTGGGTTTGAATTCCAATCAGGTGTTTCGGATTGCTTTTGGGAAAGACTGCAGCGGCCAATCCTGCGTGACTGGGCATTCCACGGGAAGGATATCGCGGATTGCCTTCAAACGTTCGTAGAAGCATAAGTAGGGGCCTTTTCATGGCGCACATGTATCGTGTCTCTCACACCAACTTGACTCTTGCCGGGCTTTCGGGAGAGCTCAAACACCAAACACCAAACACCGCGAGTCTCACATTGCCCCAAAACCGGGTCCCTCGCTCCGCCGCTCGCTCCGCGGACCGCGGCCGGCACGGAGCGCCTGTGTTGAGGTAGTCCTCAAGTTTCAAGGCCGCTGCCGCTTGGCCCAAGCACCTGGCACGCTTGGAACCGGCTCGGCTCCCAAAACTAGGTCCTCCAGTAGAGGGGCTAGAATAAGGGCACCAACTTTTTGCTGTAGTCTATTTTAGTAGGGGAACCCTCCCAACCAAAAAAGGGGTGAGACAGGGCATGGGGTTGATTGATATCCAGTGCCCCCAATTTCCAGGCCCTTGGCCTCGGTAAGCTGAGGGGGAGATAGTTCCGGATCGATGTTTTCTGCCAAAGTCCCCAGCTGGGTTACCAGGAAAAGCTTCCGGCGCCTGTTGGAGATCAGCGCTGCCACCTTCTGCTGCCGCTGCGGCAGCGGAACGGAGACCTCCAACTCCATGGCCCAGGACACGGCGATGAAGAAAACCACCTGGGACTCTGAGCCTTGCTCGGTTCTGCTCCCCTGCTAAAAGTCTAACTTTTCGTGGTCTAATTCGGAAAACCCATTAGTTGGCAAAAAGCTAAAGTCCTAACATCCAAGCAACATGCACCAAAGCTTGGGATGGATTTGGACGCGTGTTTTTTTGCGAATCGGACCCCCCCCCAAAATGTTTTCTTTTTGCTCCTGGTGTCCCGTCCCAAAACAAAAACGGTCATGACGTCATAATCAAAACCCATCGGTGCTAAACCGGTCCACCCAAAACCAGGTGGGTGTGGATCAAACAAAGAGGTACCCAAAATGGAACCCTAGTAATGGAAACAAGGACTAAAACCTGCGGGTCATATCCTGGCGGTGACAAATTTTGACCCATACCTACATAAAGAATTGAGGCGGATATCCCCCCCCCCATGGCTGGGATGGTCCTTAACCTTCACTTACCCAGGTGTTGAATGTGGCTCACCTGGGACTCTTGGGATGGATTTAACAATCGACTACCTTCTGGCCCAGCCCTATTTTCAACCGTGACTTGTCAGTTGATATGGCTATGCCGCTATGCCATTTCATTAGAAGCCACCTCCAAACTCACTGCCCATGACTCCCCAAACATGTGGCCCACAAAACCCCCGGCCATACCGCGCCCGAGCGTCGGCATCGCCAAGCCAAGCAAGGCGGGAGTTGTCGTAGGGCTCTTCTGCTCCGCAACTGGTGGTGGCAACCTCCAACAACCACTCCACCTCGACCTCAGCCAACCCCAAACTCGCAACCCTTCACATTGAAAAATGGGTTGTCTAACCTCCCCTGGTTCATAGCGCTCGGGGATTCGTAGCAGGAACATTGGGTTTTTTCTTCCCCAAGAAACAAGGTAAAGGGCACCTAACCCAACAGACCCCTTGCAGAGTGCTGTTGGCTTCTTTCGTTCTTTACGGTGCAACAAATCCCACCTCAAGGTGACGGAGGTCTCCTACAGACTCCTAGAAACGGTTAGGCCTCCATGCGGCAAATCTTGTTGGCAGTTTTGGGGGGTTGGTTTGAAGGGAAATAGGGAACGAGGAGTTGTCTAAATCTCCTAACAGGGGTTCATATATGTATACATATATATATATATATATGTGATAATTGTTTGCATCCAAGAAATTCAACAGGTCTTTTGACCATTGTACATATGGGTATGATCTTAGATTGCAGATCGTTTAGTGGACATCATGGGGTTTGATGTTCACCAACCATGCTTGTGGGTGCACAGCATTTAACAATCAGCTTCCATCGAAACTTGCGGAGATGAGATGTGACGCACGATGTCTCCTAAGAATGGCGCCCATTTAGGTGCGCCATGTTGAAGTTGATACCAGTTTGTCATATGTTTGCTTTGGTAGGGGGAGTTGTGTTGAAGGGACACCAATTGGCAACCACCAATGGTCACCATATTTGTACACAGTCAACGAGGACCTTGCTTGCAAACGCGGGTTCGTGGCCTTTACATTTGTGGGTTATACACCTACTATTGGGACCTGGGATCTGCTGTGAGAGTGTTTTGCTTTTTTGTTTCGCAACTATGGTTGTGAGAAGCATGGCCAATCGATAGAGAAGGTGGGTTTTGGCGGTGCTGTTTTGGACTGTATGTGGCATGCTTCGGGGAACAACAAGCCCAGGTAGGCAGAACCCAAACTTCTTGTCATTCTCTCAGCCGGGCGAGCTGATGGCTGATGGCCTATTCTCAGCCAACATGAACCAATGCCCACTTGTCCAGCGACTGTCATGCCAAAAAGGGAACAGATCTTTTGGGGGTCATCATGTTTTGTGGGGAACAACAATTGTAGGAAAAAACAAGATCTACAGGATGCCGCTGAATAACTGGGAATGTCTCAACCAAGTCTGACTGCGGGGAAGGCGGCATTCGAGAGACGGTGGCCGCTGTCCTCCATGCAAATGGGAATTCACCTCACTTGTCTGGAGACATATGCGCCATCAAAACTCAACTCCTGGTTCGGACCATCGCCATAAGTCTACAGGGGGGTTTCCGAGAGACCTCATTGTGTACGAGCACCCCGTGGCGGACAACATTTGCACAGATTTGTGGCCACCAACCATGTTGGAGGGCGGTGCCGTGAAAATTAATAGTCATATCTTCCATTACAAACACAGAATTGTGTTTCAAAGTGGGGGTGTGTTGTTCAACTTGCACTGGTGTACGCAAGCATGGCAGCCACTGACACAGGCATGTTTCTCAACCAGGGACCGCTTGGAGGACGTCACGATTTCTTTTTACACGGGTGAAAGTAGGTGCCACAACTCCCTTGTTGGCAACTAGGGAGGATGACCAAACCAGGATGAAAGCCCCACTTGGATGATTTCAACCGTGGATGGACGAAACAAATTTCGCACCACCAACCAAAACCCTGGAATGCTAATACCCTAACAACGTTCTGGTTTCATTCCCATAGTTTCATTAACCGTGGTGAAATCAAAGGGATGTTGAACCATACACAGTATCCGAACGAAGATTCCCCAACGCAAACACCAACAAGCAATGGTTTCAACCATCCAAAGCTGGTGCGAACGGACTTCGCATCCATCCACAGTATCCTGCTATCCCCTAGCATCCCCTAGTCATCTCCTCGGGCGCCATCAGCTGCTCACACAACATCCTTTCCGCACTCAGCGCATAGCGCCTGCCTGGGCCTAGGAACCGAGCCAAAACACACACATGGGTTTGTGTTTGAGGCCCGGGCAACCCGTTTAGGGTTTGTTGAAAGGGATATCTAGATGAAATCCGAAGCTCATTTTGGGGGTGCAAAGATTTAGCCATTTTGAAGCATGCCCAAAATTTGCTTGAGTGTCTTTGCTCGGTGCCTAGGGAAGACTTAGAGTTGGAATCACCGTAAAAGTGCTGGGTGGACATTCATCCTCAAAGTGATGTCCACCAGAGGGTCCCGGCTCAACATTCATGCCCGATTGAACTTACCATCCAAGCTCACTTCTCGAGAAGTGCACCTTCCCCAGACCGATTCATCACATCTGGTGACATCCTCAAAACGACAATCTAAGTATGACTGTACTGTGTATGATGATGTTTTAAAAACCCGCTATGAAGCATGATAAGTGTTCAATATATTAATGCAGTTTATTTTGGTCAGCATGTCCTTCAGACTACTTCATCTATCCGAAAAGGACACTACCATCGGACAGAAATCCCAACAATAGAAAGTTTAGCTAGCAAATGCACTCAATTTAAGCTTGGAGAACCCAAGCCCAAAAAGAGCAACGGACAAAACTCACGAACCAACGCTAAACCAAAAAACGACCCTACAAACTGGATTGGCCTGCTGCATTGGAAAGACTGGATAAGCTCCTGTGATCTCAGTGTTAATTTCATTTGTGTCTATGAGAAGATAGAGACACTGGAAATTATCTTAACTTTGGATTCAATGATGCCACCGATTACTATGGCGCGTTTCGGGATCCAAAACTACACCACGACCACCCCTAAGATGCACGACACGCTCGGCAGAACCTAATTCCCTTCACACAGAAAATCGATTCTTTTCAAGTCCGGCCCAAGTAAGACCCTATTGAATCTCTGGATGCGTGCGACCACCTACAACTACCTTCCGCCCACTTTCCGGGGGGGGGGGAGGGTTTATGAATCCGACCTTGAACAGAAAATAAACTACACGGCAACCAAAACAACACGACAATGCTCTTTCAAGGCTCACATTCCCCTGCTTTGTTCCAGTCAGGTACGCCGGACGGCGTGTTTTGCTTTCACGCCGACGTCCTAGCCAACTTCTACAGCTGCTCTTGTGCTGAGATTGCGCAACATGGCGCTGTTCTGTGCCTGGGCCTTGCAATGGCAAGTGACAGCGGGGGATTTCACTGCTCACCTGAAGCAGCCACCGGAGCACTTGGTCACTCTGCAGAGGACTGTCTGCGTTCACTCTGCTTAGCATCGCGGTGTGTATTCACACTAGGGGCACTTCGGGCATTCACTGCGCTTCATCAGGGCCAACGCCGCAGGGCTCACTGATGGCACCTGTCAGGCGGCCTGACTGGCCGCCATGCTGCGTGCACGTGCGCACGTCTGCTCTCGTACTGCATCTCCTCCGCCTGGCACTCGCGCGCCTCACGCCTGCCGGGCCGCAGGAACTTAGTGTGAAGCGGTCGGAAGGCTTCACGAAGCAAGTGCTTCGGGTCTGCATCTTGTTGTCGCTGGCCAAAAGGTGTAGTAAAAGGAGTCGTTTCCCGTCACTCAAAAAAGTCGTCCTTCCAACGCAAGCATTGGCCATAGGAGTATGGGGATGCATGGTTCGGCATCCCAGTGTGCAAAGCGCCATCGTATATGCTCTGCAGGAAAGCTTGTGCGCATGCCCGCTCCTCCGCGCATTACTTTGAGGACACAGCCTGAGCCTGGACTTCCAACTCCGTATCTTGTCATTGCAGGCGCTATACCGGCAAGCCACGACCTCATGATGCACACGCCTCTTGGAACACCCAAAGGCTGGGCACAAGTGATCCGAAAATGTAGCACCTTGGCGATGGCGGCGTGCCACCTAGAACATGGCTTCTCAATGGTCGAATGCGATGCCGAGTGGAAACCGAAGAATGAGGTTGAGCACATGCGGCAAACCATCCTGATCGCGCCAGACCAGCCTGTGGCGGCTTGCCACGTGCAAGTTTCGCCTACACGTCGCTCGTTAGTCCACATGATGCGGAAGAAGGGATCAAGCGAGTTGCCACGGAGCATTGCTTGGAGGTACACTGAGGCCTGAGAGCGCTTATCAGTGCAAAGGCCAGCGCTGACCCTATTTTGGAGAATTCTCTTTTATTGGGTATCCCAGGCATCCAGCTATAGGCTAGCTTTGACATGGGTTGTGACAAAGACATTCTTGAATTTCTGCAATCTTTCTCCGCGCTTGTAGATCCACGTTTTTGCCTAGCTATGAGTTTAACCCCGAGCACACGCGGGTGTGCCGTAACCTAATCAAGGCGCA